ATTTATATTCTAATTCTTACAAATAGAAGAATATAAAAATGAAGAGTGAAAAATTTTGGAAGGGAAGGACTAAGAGCAATATTGCCTTTTATTTCCTGCAATCACTGTAGAAACTCTAGCGTGAACTCAGGCCAAAAAAAAAAAAAAAAAAAAAAACACTGACGATAATTCTGAGTCATGTTCGCTACAGTCTTAAGCTTCCCATAGAAGTCCTTCCCAGAGCAGAGGAGGCTCAAAGAACAAGTTTGTTCTCTTTTTATATATTGTTAAGAATAAATGGTTATGACCTAACTGATAGTGAAATTTGTGATTACCTAAATATTTGAAAAATCACTATTTGTTAACTAAACAAGGTGAGTCATTCAGAGCTTGTCTAAGATGATAGGTTAATGTAGTACTTTATAGATATGACCTCAATAATATTTTAAAATCTTGACTCTCTAGCTGAACATATCTAAGACAATGCCTTGTGTGCTTTATTGGACTTGATGCCTCACTCAGCACAGCACAGGCTTCCTGACCACCTACGACTCCCTGTTCCTCCTTTTTTTTTTTTTTTTTTTTAAAGATTTATTTATTTATTCGTACAGAACTGGGGTACAGGCCAGAGTTGCGGAGGGTGAGAGGATTCACCAGAGACAGAGTGGGGAGCAGAACAGGCAGATGGACGAAGTACACTGCTGAGGGGAGCAGCGGGCGGGTCAGGAGAGGTCTGCCGCGCCATATGGTCGCCTCCTGGGCAGGCGGGGATCAAACTCATGCGGAAGTGGCTTCAGTTTCTCAGTGCAGTGCTTTAACCCGCTGCGCCACCAGGGAGAGCCCTGTTCCTCCTTTTATGTAGGGCTCTCTGGTGACTCTGAGAAACATGGTGACTATTAGTGAAAGTGTTACTTGAAGCATGACAAGAGGTCATGCTCATCATTTCTGTTAGAACAAAGCCTTTTATTCCCTGTGAGGTAGTCTTCCAGTTTTCTTTAAGGAGTGTGCATGTGTGTGTGTGTGTGTGTGTGCATGCACACAAAAAATATATATCCAAATTTACATATATATTATGTGTATATATATTTTATATAAGCGGACATGAAAAGCTAGACAGAATTTTAAAGAGTAAGTTTTAGGGAATACCAGTATCATTAGATCCAATAGTCTACAACAGCAAAGTTTCACAGTTACACAAGGTTGGGTTTGTCTTTCTTGGAAATTTGTAACATTCATTAGCATTTTATTTTATTTATTTATTTTTAAAGATTTATTTATTTATGCATACAGAACTGGGGTACAGTCCAGAGGTGCAGGGGTGGTGAGAGGATTCAATAGAGACAGAGTGGGGAGCAGAACAGGTAGATTGACAAAGTACACTGCTGAGGGGAGCAGAGGGTGAGATGGAAGAGTAATTAACATTTTAAAGGCTTGGATAAATTCTGAGGAAGCTTGCTTAACTGTGATCACCTTTGACTTTGTAACTCATATTATGTTGTGCAAAACATGTTAGTAATCCACAGAATAATATTCCATAAATCACATGTTGGGAAATGATTCTCCAGAAAGATTATTTGGAGAAAAACAACTGGGTATTTTAACACCTGCCCACATCTCAATTACCAATTGATTTTGCTACAGGACATCAGTGGGAGAAAATACCTCTGAGCAGCAGTAACCAGGACATAAATAGACAAAAAGAGAGAATTATTGAACAACCTCTTGAAGAGAGAGAAGATGACAATGGGAAGAACAAAGATCACCATGCAACTGAAATTGAATGGCTGGGATTTCGGAAACCTAGCCACGGTGATGTGCTGCATTCTAAACATGAGGAGCAAGAGGTTTGGGATGAGGAAATTAATGATGATGATGATGATTGCAATGAAGAGGAAGATGAAGTTCGAGAGATAGAATTTAAGAAAAAAAGAGAGTATTCTCAACTGAAAGAGGAAGGTGATATTAGTGAGGATTCTCCCCTCAGCAGCCCCAGTTCCCAGCCTGTGACACCTGATGAGCAGCCAGCCTTGGTGAAGAGGGGCGATATCTCCAGAAATGCTTATTCCAGATATAATACAATATCCTACAGGAAAATCAGGAAGGGGAATACTAAACAAAGAATTGATGAATTCGAGTCTATGATGAACTTATAAACTAACTGGCACTGAGACGTTTTCTTGCCCACTAAAGTAAAGCTAATTCTGTTTTCCTGAGAAACACCTTTATATGCCTTATTTGACTTGCCACTTTTATAAGTGAATGCGCACTGTTTCACTGTAGAGAAAAATGAAAATAACCCTAGATAAAATTCAGCCTGGTAACTTCAAATCTTCATGGACATTTTGCTTTTCAAAACTTCACTAATATAATATTATGCGTTAAGAACTGTACAGTCAGCACCAGTGGGGAATCTGGCATGATTTGCCTTTAAAAATAGTGAAGTTAGTAAATGTGGTCATCAAATGAAAGAGAGGACTATTTGAAATGATTCTTATATTTCCTTTGGTATCTTTTTTCCTGTACATGGAGGGTGATAGAAAATCTGTTATTAAGCCTCTCTTACTTTTAAACATGGTTTTATAGATGTTGGCAATAAAATTTCCAAAATATTTCGTCTTTCCTATTATCTTCAAAAATAATGTAGTTGGTTTTCTTTGGCATCTAAAGAGTGAAAATTCTGTATAGGCCTCCTTCCTAGGTGTTACCATTCACTGAATTTTCTCACTAATAGGGCTGAGCTATTGTCAGGAAAATCCTGTTTACTAAATGTTGGCTTTATGCTCTCAAGATGAATTAAATCCATTGTGCGTTTGATACAAGGAGGGGCTAGAAGATTAATGGGCAATAGACTAAAGAGCTATATTGAATAGTTTTATTTCTGTGACTGAAAATAAAATTTTGTCTAGCACAGTTAAAGTCATTAAAAATGAAAATGACAGCTTTAGCACAATTTTAAGAAAATACCATTCTCTATTACCACACTTTCTCTTATTAACAGTATCTCAGAATAATTTTCTTTCCTTGGAAACCTGAGACAACTTTAGTTATAACTGTACTAGTTAATATGAAAATGGAAATAATTATCATAGAATATTTTCAAAGTAAAGTGTGAGCCTGTATTTTTAGTGAGAAAGCATTGATAGTTGTTAGGAATATATAATTTGCTGGACCCCAGCCCAAATCAAGATGCTTAAAATTGTGCTCGTGGCACTTCACCCAAACCAATGTGTCAAATAATGTACTGAATATTTATGAAAAAGGAGAGTCTATATTTATATTCTTAGATAGTTGCATAATTTTTCATTTCATGCTTCCATATATATTATCCTAAATTTTCAGTCACCAGAGATAAAGAGATTTTTTGACCCTGCAAATAAAGACAATTCCTTATTGTCTGAATGTAATACAGTCTTCATTGTTCTATTCAGTCCTTTGTTTATTTCTTTCTTCTTTTGTGAAAAACCATGGGTTAGCCCTTCTTAGATTATTGCTTATTTATGTGTAACAAATCCCACACATTCTAATGGAAATTTCCTTAATTCTTCCTGGTTTTATATTTCTATAGTACTATTATTTAGTATTTACAAGACTCAATTTTGAATTCAGGAATGAAGTTCTGCTTTTGTTCTCTCAAACTGCTACATTGAAAATTGACCATATAAAATGGTGCTATACTTCTGCAGATCCTATAGATACTATGTTTGACAATTCGGGTTTTCAGAATAAAGCCAGGGAGATTAGGTCACTGTTAACAAATTTTAGTAGAGGATTGATGCACAGGACAATTTGCAGTTTATTTACATCCTCTAAATCACTCCATTGGGAAAGCCATTTTCTTTTCTTTCTGATCACCCTTACAATGTTCTACTTAACTTCAGAGCACACTATTATGTTATTTGTCACGAAACAGGGCAATCTAGCTAATCTAATATCAACAGAGCCTGTATTTTGGACTTCTCCAGCAGAGATGAAGAATTCCTGTGGAATTTGAGTGGGGTAGATATTCTGTGGTCATGTTATGTAGCTGAGGAACTAACTCTTATGGGCTGCAAAATGTAGTGATCCTGGGCCTTTCAGCTTAATGCTGATGGATGAGGCAGTATAGTTGTAAAAAGAATCCTGAAACTATTCTTTGGTGTTGATGCTCATTGCCCTATACTGCCATCTTACATGAGCATCTCAGAGTTAAATGAGGATAAACAACATGATGGTGACAGGTGGCTGTTTTGAGTTTTTGCAACCTGAGAAAACAACGTACTGATCCATATTGCAGGAAGGCTATTTAACACTTTTGACACTCACATAGGACATGAAGTTTTACCTCTTCTGTGATTCAGTTCCACAGGTGGAAGAGGGAAGATGGTATCTGCTAGGGGTGAGGATAGTATTATTGGGTAAGTGATTTTTGGGTGACTTCTTATTTTTCCTTAGTTGTCAAGTGAAACAGAATTAATAAATTCTGTTCTCTGCTAATATAAAGTTTATCTTTCATTTCATATAATATTTGAAGGCAAAGAATATATCGCAATCTGCCACCTATTTATCTATATCTATAAAATAAAAATACTTTATATTCTTTAACTGCCAGCACTACTAAGACCATCAATAAATCCTGCTTCAGAAATGGAGAATATCTTATTAATATATAACTCATTTGCATTACTTATTTCAACAGTTCTTAAAATGGGGCCTCCCTGGTGGCACAGGGGTTAAATTTCAGTGCTATCATATTATTGCCCCAGAGGCCTGAGTTCCATCCCTAGCCAGGGAGCTGACCCACATGGCATAGCTGACCACTCTGTCTTGCCTTCTGCTCCCCTCAGCAACATATTTTCACTAGACTTGCCTGTCCTGCTCTCTACTCTATCTTTGGGGAACCCTCTCACCCCCATACCTCTGACCAGGTTCTTATATGCATAAATAAAAATAAATACTAAAAAAAGTCTTGAAACGGTTAAGTATGTAGTTGCAAAATAGAATTCCTGATGGGTAAATGTATAATGTTTGTGAAAAATATTTTTTTTTTAAATAATTTTCTGAGTAGAATTTTTTTTTTTTTAAGATTTATTTATTTGTACATACAGAACTGGGGTAAAGGCCAGAGGTTCAGGGGCTGCGAGGGACCTCACCAGAGACAGAGTGGGGAGCAGAACAGGCAGATGGACGAAGTACACTGCTGAAGGGAGCAGCCGGCTGGCCAGGAGAGGTCTGCCACGCCATGTGGCCACCCTGGGGCAGGCGGGAATCTAACTCATGCGGAAGTGGCTTTTAGCCCCTCAGTGCTGTGCTCCAACCCGCTGCGCCACCAGGGAGGGTCATGTGAAAAATATTTTTATAAGAACTGAAGTATTATTTTAATGCAGCTTAACTTCAACAATTTGAAAAACATATATATACATGTGTATATATATATATATATATACATACACACATATGTATATATATCTTTGAAATTGTCAGGGTAATACATTTAAACTCTGCTGGCACTTTTGTAGTAATTGTTTCTGTATATTTAAAAGGAGCAGTATGTTTGGTATACTTTCAAATGGAGAATGGACTTTTAAGTTTTTTAAAGTGATGGGAAAAACATTTAAAATAAGTAGTAATAGGTAATTATGGATAAAGATAAAATACCAAAGTATAATAAAGAAGAAATATGTTTCACCATAATAGAAAGGCAGCTACTTCTTTTAAAGCTTAATCTTTCATTGCTTTATAAAAACAAGAGGGCTATGAAAAGTAATGTCAAAAGGTAAAAAAAAAATTGCCTATATTAAAATATCAGACAGTACCATAATAAATACAGCTAGGGAAGAACATGAAGGGAGGAGGCCACACCATTCATATATACATATCATACAAGTGTTAATGAACAGTAGGAGTCACCCAGATCTATGGTAAACTACACAATCAAATAGTGACATACAGTCACTGACTTCCAGCTCTGGAGAGTTTTTAGAAAATAATTTGGAATATTCAAATCAACTCCAAATTCCTTTGTAGTCTATAATTGCAGCTCTCCAAATAAAAAGTATTTTGAAGTAATCAATAACAAAATTCATTATCTTAACCTTTGCCATCTCCTGTTTTTATGTTTACCTCTCAGAGCTAACTAAAGTGTACAAAACCAGCAATATTTGAGTAGCTATCTTAAGAAGAGAGTTGGGGGTCTCCCTGGTGGCCCAGGGGTTAAAAACACAGCCCTATCAAATTATCTCCAGCCACTGCAGCATGAGTTCCATCCCTGGCCAGGGAGCTGACCCACCCGGTACAGCAGACCTCTCCTGACCTGCCGGCTGCTTCCCTCAGCAGTGTACTTCATAGATCTGCCTGTTTACTCCCCATTCTGTTTCTGATGAATCCTCTCACCCCCTGCACCTCCAGCTTGTACCCAGGTTCTTGTGTGCATAAATAAATAAATCCTTTAAAAAAGGAAGATAATTAGGCATGTTCATAATCTTAATTGAATAATGAGCATCTTAGTAATTTAGTTTGTATATTTCGTTCAAGATTAGAAAACTATATTCAAAATAGAAGCTTATTCACCTGAGATACTCTTGTCTAAAAGGTCAGTTGTAGACAAATCTACTCCCTTAAAAAGAGTTAAAAAAAAAAAAAAAAAAGTGTTAAAATACCCAACCACTTAATTTTATCTGCAAGTAAAAATTCTTGTTTTTACTTTCGGTTTTGAATTTGCAAAAAGTAATGATATATAGAGTTTTGAATTGGGAGGAAGTAAAACCGAGACTATGTATATATTTTTCAGCTGCCCAAAGAATATAAACTAATTATACTATCAAACACTTTAGCTTCAACATTTAATATAAATGTTTCATTAACATAGATATTTATGACTACTATCCTTGAAAAATATTAAATATCTATCAAGCAGTAATAAAGTAAAAAACCTATTTTCAAATAAATTATTGGTTACTTACTAGATGGCAACTGCCATGATTAGTAATAGCATATTATAAGCTCTATTTGCTGGAATATGAGAACTTTCACTTGTGTTTTTGCAACACAAGGATTCACATGCACTTGAAAAGACACCTAATTGGAGTGGTGGTAACTGGTAGTTGACCCATTAAGTTGAAAGCAAATGCATTCTATCTGCTTAGTGTAAAGATTTTTTTTCCCTTTTCTTTTAGACACAAGCATCACCTATATTTGAAATACTACCTAATAAACCTAGTAAGGATATAAAACTTCACATGACTTATTCAAAACTGTGCATGAAATGACTATTTGTTGAAAATAAATAAATAAAAATATTTTATATATTAGCTTTGCTATTCTGTTTTCCATTTCAAGGCATTTTTCACTTGTAATTTTGGGCTGGTTATTCAAACTTGTTGAATAACCTATGCAGAAGTTGTTGCAAAAGCAATATGGTTCAGTTTGAACAATGAAGTGACAGATACAAGTCATGAGTTGTGTTTTAAGTTAAATTTTTCTTCAATTTTGATTTTTTTCCCAAGTTTTTCATTTTCCACTTCTGTACAAATTGAGTAGTCTGTCAGCCATGACTAATGGTTGGGAGTGGGGGAAGACTATTACTCACAAAGAATGTATAGCTATATAGTGATCTCTCTTTCCTAATTGTCCTAGGAAATGAAAGAGTATACTGAAAGAAGTCAGGAAGGTAGATACTTAAAGTGTATGAGGGTAGTCACCCTTAAGCTTACATTTTAGTTGTTTAATAGCATTGTTTTTTTTTAAAAAAAAGATATATTTATTTATGCTTACAGAACTGTGGTATAGGCCAGAGGTGCAGCGGTGTTAAGATGATTCACCAGAGACAGAGTGGGGAGCAGAACAGGCAGATTAACTGAAATACACTGCTGAGGGGAGCAGTGGGCGCGTCAGGAGAGGTCTGCCACGCCATGTGGGTCAGCTCCTTGGCCAGGATTGAACTTGTGCTGCAGTGGTTTTGGAGAGCTTCATAATGTGGTGCTTTAAGCCACTGCACCACCAGGGAGAGCCTTAACAGCATTGTTTTTAGATGTTTAACAAAAAAAAAAAACTTACCTTACTCATGAGAGAGCCCAAAGACATTGGCCTTGAATAGTAGCATGGTATGTTGAAAGAAGTGGGTATAATGGAAACTGGGTTTTAGTTCCTAATTGTAGGATGAACTTAGATAACCTTCTTAACCATGCTTTTTGACTATATAATGAGGGTTTGAGATTACCTCATTAATTCAGGCACAATAGTCAGACAGTGTTCCTAGCATGTAGAAGGTACTAAAACGTAATTAGTTCTCAACCCTTTTCTCTTTCTTCTTCATAGTTTCCTATCATTTCTATCCAAAATGTTAGAGTCATCATATGAGCCATCATTTCTTTCCTGTGTTTAAATGTGGAACTTAGAGATAGTTGAATGCGTAAAAATGGTATGAATCTATGTGATGCACTTCTACCCCATTTTCTTACGTGACAACCCTTTGAATACTACTCTAAGTTATTCATGAAATTTAGATCTTTGGGCCCTCCCTGGTGGCGCAGCGGGCTAAAGCACAGCACTAAGAAGCTAAAGCCACTTCTACAAGAGTTCGATTCCCGCCTGCCCCGGAGGAGATCTACATGGCGCAGCAGAGCTCTCCTGACCCGCCTGCTGCTCCCCTCAGCAGTGTACTTCATAGATCTGCCTATTCTGCTCCCCACTCTGTCTCTGGTGAATCCTCTCACCCTCCGCATATCTGGCCTGTACCCCAGTTCTGTATGGATAAATAAATCTTAAAAAAAAAAAAAAGAAATTTAGGTCTTTTACTAAGAGAATATTTCAAAACTGGTACGTTGAAATACACAATAACATTATGATAGTAATGGCGCATTTTGGTTATTGGCCCTGAAAATGATTGCTGATGGAATGTCAAAAAGCAGAAATGAAAAACTTTATGCTTTGTTGAAGCAAAATCATACCAATAGTAGCTGTGTCATCCTTCCAAGAGAGGAGGGTGGAAGCTCTGGGTAACTGTTGCAATTAATAAAAGGAATTATTCAAATGGAGAGGTACAGAAGTACTAAAAATGTTTGCTAAATTACTTTTTTAATTGAATAAGTCCTGTAAAATATTAAAACTGCATTTAATTTCAAGCACAATGACAACATGCTGCATAGATATCTCTTTTCTAAGAAAGGGAGTATTTTACGCCAACCTAGGGAAGGCTGAAGTCTCCAATAACACAGCCCCCTATTGAAGAATTCATGGCTGATTAGGACTTTAACATGTCAAATCTACGAGTTGATTATTAAAAAAATGAGAAAAATCTCATAGCATTTACCTTTATTACAGCTTTTTGAACACAAAGTTTAAAGGGTAATGCCTAGACAATGTTGGTGGTAGATTTGATAGTCAACAATCTTTTAATGTTATAACAGGAATGGTGCAGTGATAAAAGAACATCACTTTCTATCCCACCAGACTCTCTAGAATTGACAACCTTGTTTTCGTCCATTCCAAGGGTGAAAGAATAACCCTAAGAAAATAGCACAGAAATTTCTGACCATCAGATGATAGCAAAGCAAGTTGGTTCCAGTTTGAATCTCCCCAAGATCACCGGATACCAATATCACAAAGAGAGACTTGCTAATCCTTGCCCACTTCTCCCTTTCTAGTCCCTTGTAAGTCTGGATAAATACGTCTGCCCTCTGCCAAAGAGCAGGATGGTGGTCTTCAGCTCTGAGTCTGCTGCCCTCCTCTATTTGTCGATGAGTTAGACTAATTTCCTTCTCCTCAAAGTGTTTCCTGTTATTGGCTAGGGGAACCCTAGATAGGCATTTGGGCACAGAAGTTTCCTAATTAGTGATGTTTTCCTTACATTTTTAGAGTAATTGAGAAAATACTGCTAAAAGCTGCTTGTAAAATTTGTACCAAGAACAATAGTTGATGCATACAAATAATCCTTTGTAGTATGGACAATATAGGTTCACATATAGCTTCCTACAAATAATATGTCAAAGATAAGTCAGGACAATATAGTGGATGAACTGTAGACATGTCTTTTGAGAAAAAAAAGTTCAAATTTCTTCAACTGGTATACCTAAATGTAAGAATATCCAAAACAAAATTTCCCTTTTCCTGAACAGAGTGGACATATTTGATGGAAACCTGTTTTTTTTTTTTTTTTTTGTTAATTAAAAATATAATTCTCTTGGGGCCTCCCTGGTGGTGCAAGGGATAAAGACACAGTGCTATCAAGCTACTGCCAGCCATCACAACATGAGTTCCATCACCCCCAGGGCCAGCCAGGGAGCTGACACACATTGCACAGCAAACCTTGCCTGTCCCACTGGCAGCTCCCCTCAGCATTGTATTTCAGAAGATCCACCTGTCCTGCTCCCCACTCTGTGTCTGGTGAATACTCTCACGTCCCACACCCTCTGATCTGAACCTCAGTTCTTCTATGCATAAATAAATAAATAAATAAATATTTTTAGAAGACAGTTATTTTTAGAGTGGAGCAAAAAATCTTTAAGCTTTTTTTTTTTTTTTTTTCCCAGTCACAAGGAACATTGCCTAAGGCATTTAGCATATTTACTTTTGTCAGCAGTTCAATTAGTCCTCTGGGAACTGACTTGTGTTCTATATACAGAATAGTCCTGTTTTCAAAAGAATGACCTCATTTTCTAGTCATTCTTTGATCTCATTGGCAATCTCAATTACATGGCTAAAATATGTTAAAATAATGCACATGCTTAAGTATATCTCTGATTTTGTATAATTAATTGGTATTTAAAATTAATTTTTAACTAGAAAGTCAGACCTAAAGATGACCATTTATTTTGCCACCAGCTCAGAAGGTTGACCGAAATAACTTTTTTTTTTTTTTTTTAAATAGCAATAAGCATATAGCATGGCTATCCTCCATGATTTAGTGTTTCTTTCTCAGGAATCCTGTGGATCAGATTTGTTTAGACCAGTGATCCGAGTTCTACCTCTCAAGATCCAGTTTCTAATCCTGATTCTTTTACTAACTGACTTGAGGTTTTAACAGGTAATATATCTATTGAGTATCAATTTTCTTACCAAAAGGATGTAAATAATAATATTTTCTATGATCTCTTCTACTATGCCTAACTAGGGGTGTACTTAAGATTAGGATCAAGGGAATATTGTCCGCATTTAGGGTTTTATTCCCCTGTTCCTCTTCCCATCTCCATAGAAGTGCCAGCTCTTTCTTTTTTGACTGATTCTAGGGCAATTTTTCGTAACTCTCTAAGATTGCTTAGAAAAAAGACATTCTCTTTCCTTTATTATGTCCTTTATTATATTTCCACTTTGGAATCTTGTAGAGCTGATTTTTAGCAAACTTCATCCCTGTGAATGCTGTTAAAGCAAAATTAGTATTTTATATGCAAGAATCTAAATATTTTTCAGTGATCTATTTCTGTTTTGTTTCCATTCCTCTTATTTGGCCCTACATCAGATTGTATTCAACAATTAAAGGTATTTTGGGTTACTACAGTGTGTTATGACCTAGCCTCTTTGTCCCTTCTTTTTCTCTCTTTTGAAATATTCACTGAAATCTTGGAAGCTACTAGAATACCCATTTTTTAATCATAATTTAAAAATGCTCCAATGAAACGGAATCAACTTCTATAGTAGAATAAATATTTAAATTCCTCACTTAAATTTTTTCACTGCTTCTGACTGAGAAAAAACCATTATGCAGTAATCTATCTCAAAACCATGCCATAAAGGAGTCTTAAATCAATGGTTTCAAACTGTTCGGTAAACATGCAAGTAGTCCAGAGGGACTTCACCAAGGAGGTAGCTGTGTGTTTCTGACTTCTAGTAGTAGGAACTCAATTTCTTTTTTGATGATAAAAAAGCAATTAAAGGAGATTTTCATTGATTGCATGCACTTGTGAGCCAAAGACCTGCTCGTTATCAAATCTATTGAGTATGAGTGTCATTGTGTTGTTGCAAGTACTTCTGTTAGATTGCATGGGAAAACTTTCAGGTTGAGTTCCAAAACAGGGCAGGGTGGTTTAGAAGGACACCCAAGTGCAGAAGTACTTCAATTCCATGTTGGATTACTTCCCTGAGTTAATATGTGGTATCTTAAATATTGTGATTAAAAACCTACGATTCAAATGCTATAAACTACCACAGAGAAATACAGGCACCAACATCACTGTTGTTTTTAATATCTAATGATTTTACTAGATAAAATAAAAATCAGGTCTCTTCAGTCTTCATAATAATTTTCAAATTTCCACTTTTGAGTAGGTTTTATTGGGTCACAAACAGCAACTTTCAGGGTCTTCTGAGAAAAATTTCCTTCCAAGCATAACAACTGAGGATAGTTTCCAAAAACAATGTGATTAATCTGTAGGAAGAAGAGATTGGTGAATAAGCCACAGATTGAATTTAACAACTGAAATTAAAAAAAAAAAAGGGGAAACCAATAAAAGATAGGTAATCATATTTTTGATTCTTAAACATGACAGTATTCAGTTTGCTCTAACCCAAGGTATGCTTTTAATTCTTCAGGAAACGTAAGATGATTTTTTTTTTTGATGATATATGTGATAACTATTATTTAAAAGGAAATAAAACCGGAATGAATTTACTACTTTAATAGGTAGTAACTCACTCATTGATGGTGGTAAAGAAGAAACAAATACCATCACAAAAAAAGCTAATTCCTCAAGTTCATGCCTTGAGGAATGAAATACGAAAGAAAAAAGGAAAGGACAGCAAAACTGAAATACAAAATGCTAACATGATGTATTTTATTTATGATCTCCTTACAATAATCTTTGATAATATGTAATGCCTGATGTCTAGGAAATCCAAATGTAATTTAAAAAAAAAGTAAAATCATCTCAGAGGGTTCTCTAACTAATATTTATTGGATATTCAAGAAGTGATTGATAAACAAAATTTGCTCATGGCTCTATCATTTTTTTTTTCATTTTTCAATCATCTCAGTTATCTGTCACATGCTAATCTTAACTGTACACTTGCTGTTTTGAGATACTTTTAAAATTTATCAAATGTCGGTGACAAAAACAGTCACCGCTGAGGACTTTGGAAGTAGAATGCCTGAGTAAGTACTAAGTTCTGAATCAGTTGCAGTTGTGTTACTGCAAGTATTTTCACTGCAAATATTTAAACAGCACAGCTACTATTTAGTCATAAAGTAATTTTGAAGTGCTTGAGAAAACAATTAGCTGATTGTTTAACTGATTGAGAGTTTGGTTTCATTTTTCCATTGAGGATATAAAAAATTGACTCTGCAAAAAAGTGTTATTGTTGTCTATTCTAGCACTATGTGATCTGACTATACATTTTCTAATTTCATACCCATAATCTTGGTCACCCAACACACACACACACACACACACACACACACAAATAACTTCAAGCAAATGAAAGACTGGGGTGAACAAGCGCTTATACAAAACCCATGAAGAAAATCAAGATGTGCACAGCACTGCCATGCATCTACTCACACATCAGTGTATTTCAATCTTGTATTTTTACAATGTATTTCTATTTGCATATTGTGTATTTTGTCTTATGAATTTGTACTCGTTTATATATTTGATGATGTCATTTTGAAACTTCCATTTTTTCCTATATTCCTTTATCATCACAAAAGCAAACCATCTCTTTCTATGGTATTGCCACAATTCAACACACATATACGGGAGAAGTCATCTTTCACAACATCCTTTTGGACGTTTTCTTTAACTTTTCTTCGTTTCTCTTTTACGGCAAAATTGCTTTACGGCTAATTACGTTTGTGGCGCGTAAGTATTCACGACGCGTAAGTATTCACGGCGAAGCCACTTGCGGAAATGTTTGCTGCAGAATTACCACGCACAAGACCATCGATGAGGGTTGTCAAAAGTGCTCGGCCACGGGATTGCAAAGAGGTAGCTAAATAACTTGACTCGGGTTTAAGACACTTAAAGGTGGGAGCTAGAGCTGGAGGGAATTCCAGGCCCACATACTAGAAGTAATTTGCGAGAAGGTATCCATTTCGGCTGCCACTATTGGAGCATTTCGGGAGAGCTGAGCTAGGAGACGTCTTTAGAATGCATAGTTAAAAAGATATAATTTTATAAACTCATTGGTATGCAGTTTGTTACTGAATACTGATTTTGCAACTTAACCTGTTGCAAAATCATGCGCTAACAACCTTTCCTCCTTCCTTCCAAGTTTCCAACTCCAAATGCTTCCTAAAAGGAGAGACGTGCTTTTTCAAATAGGCTTGTTCTCCACTTCCCTTGTTTTTTAAGACTTAAGTGTGTTGAGGGATTTTTGGTTTAGTTGGAAAACTAATGATACATTGAAAAAGAAGAAAAACAATTGTCAAGATATCTTCTTTAGGAATGCCGAGCTAAGCAGAAGGTAAACTACTTAACCTGTTGCAAAATTATGCTACTAACAAAGTAAGTGGACAGCTTTTTAACCTTTGTCATCTAAATTAAATTACCTTCTTTACAAAACACCCTGCTACTTAGGGTGCTCAATTGGAGCCATAGAAATATCAGCTAATGAAAACTTAATTCTCAATGGTGGTAACCCAGATTATAAGTAAAATCTACGTGGTTTTAGAACTGCTTGCTCCTAAATATTTTTTCACTAGACTGTTCAGGAATAAATTTATTTCTGGATACGAGTATTTTTCACATTATCTCATTCATTCTCAAATAGTGTCTCTCTCTTATGCTCTTTCTCTGCCCACAGAGTGAATCAGCAGAAACTATGATGTTATTTTGCTATTTGTTCATAGCAGTTTGTGGATTTCCCCAACACTGTACAACATAAATTTCACAATTTATACACTAGTATAGTAATACTAGTTTTCTTGAATAATTCAATAATATTTGTTAGCACTAAAGGGAGAAAAAGTCCAGAATGAACTGAAATGTATCAAAAAAGACTATAAGGGAAATAACAATTGGAGAATGTAATATTTTTGACCCTGATTTTGACTCTGAGAAGAAGAAAAGTTTGCGAAGCACTAGTCACTGGCTGTGACATTAGAGGCACTCCAAGGAAAAAGAGTGCTTACTTTGAACTCAGCCCAAGCAAAACAGTGTTGCCCACTGATGCAGAGCCTTCTGTGGATTTGGTGGCAACTTGCTAGCAAGGTAGACAATTGGAGACTGACTAATTTTCTTAGCACCTCAAGATTCTACATTAAAGCTCATGACTGTATGTTAAAATAGATTTCAATTTTTCTCAAAAGACTTTGAAAGTGAATTAGTGTAGAGCAGTGGTATGATGATAAATATGAACAACTGGACCTCTGGAAAAACATGCCCTGATGCATAGCATGAGTGTAAATACTCCCCTGGTGGCTGGTGGCAAGCTACCAGTGTGTTATCACTGAATCTCAAGTCAGCAGGAGCTGCACAGTGGGAGCTGAGTCCAGTATCCCCTGCAGCCCAAGTCTCTGGGAATTGGAAGGTATGAGAAATACCTTTTATGGCAAGGTGGCAGAATGAGGAACCAGATTCACACTAACATATAGCTTTGTTACAGGGCAGGGGGAGAGAGGCACCGCTGAACCACCAAACCTGCCCACTCTAAACAGTTTCTGCCATCCGCCACATCAAGACAAAACATGTAAGACTTTAATGAAAAGGGACTTTAATACAGTGAGTATACAACACAGAAGACAAAGAATATAATTTCTAAATCAAACACCCGAAGTTACCCATCCCCTCATGGGCAAAAGTCAACCCAAAAGGGATTGGCCCAAAGCAAGGCCTGAAATCCCACCACAAGACTAAAGCACCTCTGGCCGGGACTCATAGAAAAGGGTCAGAAATGGCCAGGCAAATCTGGGAGAAAAAGAGCAAAATCAATATAAACACTGCCATAGTCAACCTCCCCACTGGTCTCTCACCCACATCTGTTTTAAACAGTCCAGGGCCAAGAAACAAGCACAGTTTATCGCATGCTTGCTGCTCCATGTGGCTTCCTCAGGTCTCCTTCTGGCTCTCTATCCTGCTGCCTTCTCCCCTTAGATCCTTGCTTCTCTTCTTTTCTCTGCTCAGCTCCACTCTCCTTCTGGGTGGGGCAGGGAACCTGGAACTTCCTGTTTTCCTAGGGACTGCCCTGCTACAGCTTGAGGGAAGCACATTGCTTCTTGTTTCTCTCATATATTCTCTCTATAAGCTTTTCTGGTGATCAATAAGAACCAATTTTCATCTAATTAACGTTCACTCTGGCATGTGAATGGACTGTAGCAAATGACTTTTAGAAACAGTAAGAGCAATGTAACCAAAATAATCAGGTAACTTCTATTTATTTAAAAAAAAAAAACTGCTTTGAAAAAAATTGTGAAACAACTAAAAGGACTTGATGGTTTACAAAAATATCCATTTATCTCTCTGAACTTTTACATTGCCTCTATTGTCACAATACATTTAAAGCTTCTGACTGAGGAAGCTGACAATGAGGGTTTTATGTCCCATTAAATTGAAAGGTGGATTTGTGGTAAAGAAGAGGTACAAATATTTTGCTTACCAGTTCTGGATGAAAGACTGATGTGGATTTATGCAACCACTTAAGTGCTTTGTTTCTGTTATCGCAAGGACGCAGCCTCAGGGCTCCCTTATCAGGGATGGGAGCTAGGCACCATTCTCCGTGTTTAATTAGTCTTGGCCAGGTATAATTAAATTGTTGAAACTGGGAGAAATGAATAAGGAGAAGGTCAGCTCAGGCAACAAACACATGTGAAACCTTTGTCAAATATCTATATTTTAAGCAATACTTAGGAGTAAAGGCATGGTACTGTCCCTTTAATTTTGAAAGAATGGACATATTTTCCTGTCTAATCTCATTTTTATCATTTTAAAGTTCAGTAGCAATACTGTTTATCTCAGAGAGTTGGGATAGTAACTGTTAAGTGTTTAGTACACAGTAAATTCTTAATATATGTTACAATAAAACAAACTTTTAGCTGAGTTAGACCAGCTGAATCCCAGGCCATTCTGATGCTTGAAGTATTGGAACATTTCTACCATTGAGTAATAAAGTTCCTGAGCCATTGATGAGAGAGAAACCAAGTCACAGTTCTAAATACTTTGTTAGAAATTATTATGCTTCCTTGTTTGAGACTATCTAGAAGGTTGGAATTTGAGAGACTTTGTTTTACTTTTAGAAAGACTAAAGGTCTTTCTTTGTTGTTGAGAGTCAGATTTTCTGGTACATTGGTTAATCTGGCATAGAAGTCACTACAATGGTGAATCTTCAAGAATTGCACTCTTTAATACTTTACTTTTATTTAATTTGGACTAATTGTGGTTTTTGTTTTACATTTTATGACTGTTTCCTCTTTGCATTGTTAATAATCAACTTCCATTGATTTTTGACACTTTCTTCTGTCTTCTCTCTTTCCTAATTAAGAAAAATTTCCCTTTGCTTCAAGTTTACAATCGGCAGCTAAATTAGAGCAATAAAAATGATGAAAATGTCTTTTCTTCAAGAAACAGCTTTGAGTTAAGAGATAGCGATGAGGGCAGTCTTGAAAATTAAATAATATCTCAAATCAAAGCAAATAAGAGTCTTGGCAAGCCTAGATTATCACCACAGAATAATTTCTCTAGCAAAGAGTGATAAGCAATTTTAGGAGGCAGGTTTGTGCTTGTGCATCACTGCACCTGTGAGATCTGTTTGGTTTTCAAACCAGTGACTGTCCCACAGAATGAGAATGGGTAGGGAAGTGTGCTGGAGAGAGGTGCCATCATGACTAGCAAACCTCCAGCGCTGTGAGGCACCTGCTTTCCAACCCTTCCTGTTTCCCTTACCTCTGTGCTCTGAGTTAGTGCTGTGAGGTTTTGTTGTAGGAGTTTCTACCATGGAATCCGTGCCTTGCATGACTCCTTTAATATGTAGGAGAATAGTGGGGGGTTAGGGCGAGGGGAAGAAGGGAACTAAGAATAAAGTTCTTCCTGAGATTATTTAGAAATGTTATTTTTTATGTTCTGTATTACTTTATCTTCACAAACAATGTGTTATTTTCCACATTTTGGTCTTTATTATTGGAGCACCAAGTGTTAGAGCTTGTCCTACATACTTACTTCATGGGTATAACATAATTTGACCTTCACGCCAGTTGTAGGCACTATTAACACTGCTAATTGCCTATTAATAGTGGTAGGCACTATTAACACTGCCATTTATCTAAGGGTAAGGAATTTGAGAAGTTAACACGCTTGTGTAAGTGATAGAGCCAGAATTGAGTCCCTGGTGGGAAAACTCAGTACTACACCTTAACTCTCACAGTCACTTTACTTTCAGTGGTGTCCTCTCTTGTCACCAGTCTTATGAATATATAGACATTTAGAAATTATTATTTCCATTGGCAAAAAGGATTTCTCATGTAAGTCATGATTGTTAACATACCCTGTACTTAATAACTACACTGACACCAACTAGTATCTTGCCCTTGGATGAGCTTTTGAGGAAACCCGTCTCAGCATACCTGGCTGCTCCCATCACAATCTTCCAGAATGGCTGTAGTATTTTCAATAGATATGCATTTGTCCAAAGCCACATTAATAAGCTAGGAAGCAAAATATAAAATGTGCATTAGGAAAAAAGTATTTAAAAGTAGAACAAGATATTTAGACACATTGAGAATATAGAACTATAATAAGGTTAAAAGATGGTTAAGTTAATAGCTAAGCATTACTTAGCACTATACGATTTTATTGGTTGCTATCTCTAACAGAGACATAATGTAATCTTGCTAAAGTACAGCTCCAGTCTGTCAATTTAAGTTTGTAATTCAGTCACAGAGCCAACAAACACAAGCTTTTAATTAACCCTTGCCTGGAATACTGAATAGGGAAGGAGCAAACGGTAGAATGAAAAGTACTTTTTTTTTTGGGTTAAGTTTGTCTTAGGCATATATTAAAAGTCAATGCACATACTTCTAATTTAATCAAACCAACAGTTTGGACTCTGTTCCTTGGCTGACCCCTCCAAGCTATTTGACTGCTTAGACTGAATCATAGATAAATTGAATCCTTCACTGAACAGCAGATTCCAGCTGATTCCCTGTCAGAATCTTCCTAATGACTCAGGCAAGCTACAATTCATTACAGGAAAGTCATGCAAGCTAACACAGAGCCAACCATAAAGGTACTTTCTGGCAGGTCCCCGGGTTTTTAATGGATTTACAGGGTCAAATATGAAGGCAGTATTTTATAAGTTACCATTTAGTAATGGAAAAGTGTTGATTCCCTGGCCTTTATGGACAACTAGTAGTAGTTTATTTTAGTAGCGTTATTTAGACTACTCAAAGTTCTAGAAAAGCTGTGTGGAGCCAACTCTACTCAGGAAAGCCCCCTGAGCTGGGAAGTGGTGAGGACTTAGTTGCCAGAGCCATTACTTGTGTCTCTTCCTGTTTCTTGCTGCTGAATACAGAAGTCTAACCATGGAGTGCTCTTTGGCTAGACTGTAATTCAAATTAAGGAGGTTTCATTACAGGGTGCTCAAAAGATTGGTTCTCCCTTTCATTTTATGTGCATAGTTTATCTTGTAAGAATGTAAGGGACATCTTTAGGGACCAGAAAATACAGAAGAAATTAAAAGAGGGGAAACTGCCAATGTTGCTAAACAAAGAAGTTAATCCTTTGAAAAGACAGGAAGAAAACTTGGGTTTGGACAGGCCATAGTTGGAACTGAGGTCTTCCAAATAAAGATTGAAAACTAGTCAGAACCTCAGTGGAGTGGTGTCCTGGGAACAATTTAACCATAACACTGGGAGGGAAGCTGTAGTTTACTTTGGGAATATGAAACCTTATTTAAACTTTAATTTGGGGATTCCCTGTTGGGCTAGACATTAAGTCTTAGTGCTATTGCCACTATGGCCTGAGTTTGATCCCCAGCCAGGGAGCTAATCCACGTGGTGCAGTAGACCTCTTCTGTCTCCCCACTATTCCCTTCAGCAGTGTATTTCAGCAAATCCTGTTCTGCTCCCAGTTATTTCTCTGGTAAGTCCTTTCACCATTCCTTTGTAAAAAAATAAATAAACCTTCATTTTGGGTTTGAGATGCAAATTTACACTAATTACAGTGGATAAGAAATACCCATAAACACTCTAGGGAAAGATGCAAACATTAAAAATAGTGATCATGGGCCCTCCCTGGTGGCACAGCAGGCTAGAGTGCAGCACTGCAAGCTAGCTGCAGCTGGCTTCAGTATGAGTTTGATCCCCCCAACCCCGAGGTGACCCACATGGCGTGGCAGATCTCTTCTGACCCGGCCGCTGCTCCCCTTAGCAGTGTCCTTTGTCAGTTGGCCTGTTCTGCTCCCCACTCTGCCTCTGATGAATCCTCTCACTGCCCCTGCACCTCTGGCCTGTACTCCAGTTCTATATGCATAAATAAATACATCTTAAAAAAATAGTGATCATGCAAGTAGTTACTTCTGGGGTGCATGATGATTAAAACAATTCTAGAGAAAGAGAATCTCTAAGAAAGCTCTATGTACAATGTAAATCGACAAGTGTCCTCTTAGTAAATTGTAGCAGTAGGAGTACTCAGAAGGAATTAAACACCATGAACTTCAGAGAAGAGAGTTAATAGCAATACATGAAGTACAATAATCCTGGAGTTTAAAGATAGGAAATGTTTCTCCAATTGATGTTTGAAACTTAACATAAATAAATGTAAATTACTCAATGTGTGGATTATACAGAAAATATTGTTTCGAATAAGTTTAGAAAACTGCCTTCAACTCAGTTGAACAGGTTGTCCTACTCAGAATTTCTCAAAACCTCCAGTATGTTAATGTTTAGCTTGTTTCTCTGAGATGAGAAGGAATGTAGCATGAGTGTTTGCTAAATATATTTGACCATACAACCCTATTTTTGGCAGCACAACTAGTAACTTTGTCCAGGACAATGTTTGGGAATCCCCAGTTTGACTAATTTCTTTGTACTTATTTCACACAATAGAAAAGGCATTAGAAGGAAAGAAAACTTTTTTGTCCTTCCCTCATTTTGTCTCACTCCCTTCCCTCTTATCTGATATTACAAAAGAAACTGCTTTTCTTCATATGGAAATGATCCATAAAATAACAAGGAATTGTTACTCTTTGTTATTATGGATGGTATTTCAATAGATGTTTCATTTTTTTAAGAATTGTGTTGCATTGAAACCACTGGACATTTAAAAATGTCAGATAGTATGTAAACTTCATATTATTTAGGAGGGAGAAATTTCCCATATCTTGCCAAATTGTTAAATGATAGGGCTAACCACTTAATATAAATACATATGTTGTGAGCCTCTTTCATTAGTTCCCAGTACTTTGCTTCCAACAATAAATTATTCTCACTTTTTAAAAAAAACAAACTTTGGCTAGATTTAAATTCCCAAATGTGTAGGATGAAAGAAGTGAAAATATGAAGTAAGTAACAAAAAAGTTGAGAAATTAATTTTCATAGATTGTCACCTAAAATAATGGCTTAATCTTACATTGAACCCCCCACCCTTTTTTTTATGGTAGTAATGCTTGCTCCCTATTGGTTATTTCAGAGGAGAATAAATTATATCTTTATTGAAACTTCTCTAAGGAAGGTATCAAATAGTGAAGAAAACAGGAGATAAATGGTTAAAATAATTTTCAAAATTACTTTCTGTAACTTGATATTTATTATAGTTCAGATATAGTTCAGAGGGCTGTTTCATTCATAAAGCTGTTCAAATTTCATGGAGAATGAAAGTTAGCGTCACTGAGGTGGTAAAAGGTAGTTTTTTAGTTCCCTCTAGTGGTTAAAATTTAGTAATGCGCTTGCTGAGATTGTGTTAGGATAGGAAAAATTACTATCTATGGTGAGATTTTCTTTATTTTTTTTCCCTACTCAAGAGATAGAATTAAAATAGTATATTTATTTTACAGATATATTATTTTAGTAGTGTATAAATAAAGGGATATTTTTTTCTGATGAGTTACTAAATCACTTTAGTAGCTGCTATTCTAAAATATAAGATGGCCGTTTCATAGTATATTTTGCTACATACACAGTAAGTAACACATACTTGTTAAGTTGAATTTTATAAAAACAACAATTTTTTTCAGATGAGGTTCTGCTCACTGTCTTCCAGAATAACCCTTCACTGTCCAGGATATCCTTTGATGTTCAGGAGAATGTTAATACTAAGTCCTTACCATGAGAAGATTTGCTAGACAAAGAGTGGTCTATTTGTAAAATCCACTTTCTAGAAAGAATGAAAAACACTTGGCCTGAAAGAACAGGCTTCCTAATGATCAAGTTTGAGAACCTCTTGAATGCAGAAAAAAGTTCTAAAAGAAAGTGAGACAACACTAGAGGTATTCAAAAATTGAAATTGAGAGCAAAATAGAAGAAATTCAAAATATGTATAGCAGGAAAGAGCTATGGTAAATGTTTTCATGCTCAGCAATCCTCTTGAAATTAAACCTCACACCTAGGTTTGAAGTAGCTTTTGTTTAGTTTCTCTTCCTCCTGAATTTTTTCTTGGCTTTGTAGCCTAATCAATCAATCTAGCTTGACATCTTCCCTTTAGGTATGCTATCTTGTGCCCTGGAATTTTCTCCACAATTGCCTGACAATTTCTGTTATTTTTCATCTTGCCTTTGAAATCTTAAAAAACCTAACTAAATCATGTGATCCCATTGCTTAATGCTATTCAGTAAATTTATTACTATTCAGAAAGGGAGTGGGGAGAGAGAGAAGAGAGAGAGAGAAATTCATCTTCTTTCCAGTTCTTGAAAGAACTTCTGTCATCAGAGAATTAAGCACTCAAACTTAGAAGGACTTCTCACTTATGGCCAGTTCCTTAAAAGAAAACTGTGTTTTAAATGTATTTTACTTGTTTTTTAACCTTTCTCCTGTTCTCATTTTTAATCTCCAAAGGAAGGGATCAAGTCTACTTCATTCATCACCTTATAATACAGTTCTGAAATACTTCCAGATAGTCATTTTGCTGAGTTACCGATGATTATGATCACTTGGAAGCCTTCCTCAGGTTTACCTGTTTAACCTTCAACCATAGGTTGTCTCATCTACATTTATATTTGTTGTTAATATATAATATAGTAATTCATTATTTCTTAAACATTTTCAAGATATTTCTGCATTTTGTTTTTATGGAATTGGATTTTAAATTGCTGCTTAAACTTACCACACCACTTGCCCTCACAATGGGTGCCTTCATATCAGGAAAGACATTTTCCAAGTACCACCTGAAACTTTTGCACTTTAATTTCTTTCGAAGCTCCCGTTGTTGGGTGAGGTTTCCCACATCCAGCCCTTGGTCGATGAGGTGATCCCCATGGCCATAGAATAGTTCCTTGTACTCATCCAGCCAGACCTCAGCAACCCGCACCAAGTTCCGCTCCACTGTCTTCATCCGGTCTTTGGGGAAGGAATATGGATTGTCATTTCTAAATATGTGCCCCACTCGGGAGCAGGGAATGATTTCAATTTCACCACCACACATCCACACCTGAAACAATTTGATGATGAGCATCAGTTATCAAATAATATCCACAATTCATGGGCAATTAAAAATGACAAGAAACTACTTGGCGACATTCACCCCATGGAAGTAGCTCTCTCAACTTCCAAAATCTTTTTCAATAGAAAATTATAGTGCTGTGAAACATAAGCGTTTCAGTAATTTTTTTTTTCCTTTATTATCCTACACTTCTTTTTTCAAAAAAATTTTAGGGAGTCCCAATGTATAAAATATGTGATAGGAGTTCCTGCTGCTTTGATTGAATCAGGGGAAAGTAAGTCAATTTCTGTTTTTCAATGTCCTCTTGTCACATCTTGGAAAACCTCATTATGGCTTGTGGAGTACACCTTAAAAACCATTCTTAGTCAAGAGGTCAAAGTAACATTCTTTTAAATAAATACCACCCCACTTTAGGGAAAGCAGCAGATGTTTGGATGTCCTCCAGTGTGCATGCTCCCGAGGCACTCCTAGACAGTGATCCATGGTTGCAGAATACCCAGAGGTTGTTTGAGTTGTTCCAGGTCGCTACTCTGTGGCACTTCTGCACTTCTTTTTCTAGTGCTCTTCAGGATGGCCCATTACTGAACAATTCCATTATATCCAGTATATTAAAGAAACAGTTACAGTAGTTATTTTGTTATGTATGAATTGCATGCACAGCATTTTTGCTGAATGGCAGAAAGTTATTTCTCCCATATTTAGATGAGGAAATGGTGTTATAAACTCTTAGGGAACTCTAGAAAATTTCACAAGAGTTGTTGTATCTCTAGATAAAATTTAGCATATGAAAACAATCCAGAGACTAAAATTTCTGTGAAACTTCCTCCAGAGTGCCACATATCTGATTACATTAATAAAATTATTTATTTACTGATTTGACCTGGCAGTTCCTTTTTAAATTTTAAAGATGTTTTATTATTTTTAATTGATTTACCACTGGATAGTGAAATGATCTCAAATATAATACACGTTTAATTCTAAGGAGAATTTGATGAGCACTTGGTAATGATACCTTGAATGAGAGCTCCATATTTTCTCCACCCCATACATCAAGACCAGGATCATATGTTCCAAGTTCAAAAAAGTAATTTTTGTCTATGGAAAATAATCCACCTGCCATGACAGGACACCTACAGAAAGAAAAGCTTGTTTATAAAACTTACATCTCATGGGAATTAAACGTTCAGACTTGTTCCCCTACAGTGTTGTGTTGGAATTAGAAGGCATTTCAATATAGCTACAAAGCTCAGGGAGGTCTGGGGTAGAGTCACAAATAGTACTGAAGTTCATAATGGCACAACTTGTCTGGAGACTCGGACCCAAACTCTCCAGAGGTATTTTTTAATAGCACACACTTAGTGCTAAGGGAATACCAGGTACTATTCTAAGTATAATATATGTAATAACTCATAATTTACAAAAATCCTGTGAGTATATACCACTAAAAAATGGCAATACAGAGAAAGCAACACTCTTGAGATCACAGACCAGATTGATGTACATCTGGGGTTCAAGGGTAGGGGGGTGTTGATTGATTCTCACTGCCCTAGACTATCACAACTATATATAAACTTGATCAACAGCTTTGTTTTGCAGCAGACACTTTTGAAAGTCTATTACATAGTTTGGTTAGTTCTTAAAACATAAAGAGGAAGCTATTTCTATTAGTCTTAATGGAATGAGGAAACAGATTCAAAGAGATTAAGCTGATACAATTAACAAATAGTAGAGTTGAGACTTGAAGCTTTTGGTTCTTTTATTGATCATGGAAAATAAAAAGTAAACCTGAGTCAGCAGTTGTAGGAGATAGACATCACTTGCCATTGTGGGCTCTGCTAAGCCTTCTGCAAATGGCTTGTATGGAGAGCATCCTTGTGTTTGGAATATATAGCAATCTCAATGGTACAGTCCTTGGCCACACCCCACTCTCTCTCCCTACAATGTATGTACATATTTTCTTTGTAACCTAAATGTCCTCTTTCAATAAAGATTTATTTATTATTTATGCATACAAGAGCTGGGGTAAAGGTTAGAGATGTGGGGGATGAGAAGATTCATCAGAGACAGAATGGGGAGCAGAACAGGGAGGTCTACTGAAATACAGTGCTGAGAGGAGTAGTGGATGAGACAGGTGAGGTCTGCTGAGCCATGTGGGTCACTTCACTGGCCAGGGATCGAACTTATGTTGCAGTGGCTATGGACCTTCATAGTGCTGAGACTTAGGCCTTTGTATCACCAGAGAGGCCCCCTAAATGTTTTCTTTAGACTATCCAGAATACATGCTTTTTCTAACATCAGTCATCTTCAACATAACCTAAGCACAACCACTACATGGACCATCAAAATGTAGATCTGAACAAGGCAGAGTTTCTTTAGGTGTGGGGTTAGAGCAAGAAAGTTAAATTCAGATAGATCCGAGTTTGAATCCCACTTTCTTCTTTTATTAGCTGTTTATTCTGGAGAAATTACCCTAACTATTAAGTCTTAATTTCCTCCTCTCTGAAAGGGAGAAAAGTACCACCTCCCAGTTAGTGTTGTGAAGAGACTCATGGCCTTTCAAAAGGTTACAGAGGGCTACTATGCATCTTACATAGTATATGTTAGTACTGCTGCACAACTAAGAGTATCAAGTCTGGAAAGGGACGAGGTGATCCATTGAAGGCTGAGTTGTAGGAAAGCACAATCTGTTTGGGCTTTTCTTAAGTCCCTGCTGGCTCGTGTCTCTTTCAAGTATTCTGTCAAATGGAAAACTTCAGGACTCCAGCTTCACAGCATGCTCACCACCTGCCTGCTCTCAGGTCCAGATGCTGGGGGCAACATTAGGAAGCTAATTTTGGCTTTAGGTTATACCCTTGAATCCAGCCTCACCATCAGAAAACTCAATTTTAACTCATATGCAGGTATTGTGTCCATTTCTCAGTTCATTCACAGAATTTATTACTGCTTCCGTGGGAAGAGTAGGATTATGTTCGAAAAGAAACCCTAACAGTAGTATTTATATAATGATATGCTTGCTATTATTACTTACTCTATTTTTGCTCATGTTGACATTGATATTGTGTGTATTTATATAATATTTATGAAGCACATTTAACTAGCTAATGTTTCTGTGGTTGAAAATCCCAGAGAAAATAGTGTTAGTGAACTTCTCTGGATTTAGGGCTGAATGGGGCATAAATGATTATTTGAACATTGAGTTTTGGTAATGAGAAACAAATTTCTCAGGAAAATTTTTGTGCTTTTGGTCATCTAGAATCATAACTGATGTTTTATAAAATTATAGGATATCCTTGTTTTGTGGAATTACTTTTTTATGTCTATAAAAAGATACATGACTGTGTCCTAGCCTTAAATTTCACACTTACCTTATTATATCAGTTTCTTTAATTCTGTTTTTTGCAACAATATCTGGAGGAATTGTTCTCCAAGCAAAGTTCATTGGCCACACAAAGATGCCCCTTTGAAAGTTGTCCACTGTCATGTAACTAATTTAGGGAAAAAGAAAGCCAACAAGTTGAGATCATGTACACCTTTCTATTATACATGTCATCAGTCCAACACAATGTCTTGTTCAAATGAATGAAGCAGATGCTTATGCAGATGTCTGTAGAATGTCACAAAACTTAAATGACATTTTGAGGGAAAATTATTAGTACAATTTTCATTAGGAACTGGATTGTTTACATTTAACTTACTTTTTCTAATGATGTTCATTACTGAGAATTTTATACATTAAAATAAAATTATTTTTGAAGAAAAATAACTTGGGTGTATATATACACATGTATATGTTTTCTAGGAAAATAACTAAACTTTAGAAAATAAATATTTTGGGGTTTAGTTGAAAATAAAGGAGAAAGAACTGGACAATGACTATTAGAATTTATCAGCACGAAGGATTTATAGGTTTATTGGTATTAAGGTATTTTGAATTTATTATAATCAAGTCAGCTTTTATGTTGATTTGCTCTAGTCTCAAGATATCTATTATTAGATTGTAAAAATTTCCATAGTTGGAGCATGACCATTTTTGCTACTGCTGGTTAAAGTTGCACTTAGATAGATTTTGTAGAATATGACATTACCTCATGTCTTTATCATTGATGACTTCAATTACTGGGCAGGCTACCTTCTTTCTACTTAAATGAACCCTTTCCAGAAGAGGTTCCAACCAACCAACATTACATTCCACATGAGAATCTAAGAATGTCAGCACATCACCTAGAGAGACAAAAAAATACGTAAATAGTAGAATATATGGAATTCGTATACTTCATATTCAGAGATATGGATTGTTTTAGAAAGGTGATTGTAAAGGCTGTGATCTTTTCTGCTCATTGTATTCTTGGTCCCTATACTTTTATTGTATCATGAAAGGAAGGGATTTTTTTGCCCCCAGCAGTCCTTTGGGGCTGTATAAATTATACTTCACAGATCATTTAGTTGGACAGCAGGACTCTGACACCGATGCTTAGTAATAAAAGAAAGAACTGGACAATGAATATTAGGGCTCAGCAACATTAAGGATTTATTTTTATTTATTTATATTTTATAAAGATATTAAGGTATTTTGAATTTGTGATTATCAAGTCAGCTATTAGGTTGATCCTTTTAGGAAGGTGGGCCCCTTAATCTGAGGATACAGGATTGGGACTCTTTTGCAGAAAACTGGAAGGAGATTGATATGACAAGTTTGACCTTGGGGATGATGAAGAAGAAAATCATTGTACATATTAGGGATGAAAATATTAAGGACAAGAAAGATGAAAAGGTAATGTATTAAAAGAGTTACAGGGGAGGAGGTGAGAAAGGTAGACTTGTATAATTGGTATAGTTTCAGTTTTAGTTTTTTAAGATTTATTTATTTATGCATATAGAACTGGGGTACAGACCAAAGTTTTGGTGGAGATAAGAGGATTCACCAGAGTGGGGAGCAGAACAGGCAGATCTACTGAAATACATTGCTAAGGGGAACAGTGGGTGAGACAGGAGAAGTCTGGGCCCTATATAGTTTTAAATTTGCAAAATGAAAAGTGCTTAGGAATTTGATTACACAGAATTGTGAACATACTTCAACCAGCTGAATTGTATATTTAGTGAATGGTTAAGATGGTAAATTTTATGTAATGTGTATTTCACCATACACATAGTAAACAAAAGTGTTATAGAAGGAAAAAAAAGGAAGGAAAAAACTTGAGACCAGACTAGTAAGAACTTTTTCCTCTATCCTGGTTATGCAAAGTAATAGTCTGGACAGTGAAAATCTCAGTAGCATTTATGCTGTTCCAAATACGTTTATACAAGTGGGTTATATGTGTGTGTATTTATATATGGACACAAGTGTGTGCATGTATGTGATTAACAGTGACTTGAGGATTCTGGCCTCTGACCAAATAGCCAATTATTATCCTTCAGGCCCAGCTATAGACAGCTACAAATGCTCTACCTGGCCGGTCTCGTGCGGGAGAACTGTCTTCCAATTTGGACCCTCTGAAGGGAGTTACAGCAAAGGCTTAGGACCTCTGTGCCCTCAACTGGACTTGTCCTCACGCATAAGTGCCTTCCTCACCCAGACTCCTCCAGCTGGAAGCCTCTCTCAGTCCAACTCCTCTCTGTCTCATGGGGCGTGGGTGGATCTTGAAAACCTTTTTTCTGCCTTGCTTCAGTATTTTTCCACTCCCAGTCCTTCTTCCTTCTCTTTCACGCTCTGGACCATAAAATAGCCTTTTGTTCTGGGCTTTTTTTTTTTTTTTTTTTAAAGATTTATTTATTTGTGCATACAGAACTGGGGTACAGACCAGAGGTGCAGGGGCAGTGAGAGGATTTACCAGAGACAGAGTGAGAAGCAGAACAGGCAAATTGTCAAAGTACACTGCTGAGGGGAGCAGGGGGCAGATCAGGAACGATATGTTGGTGCTGGGCTCCTTTTTATGCAGTGAGATGATCCTTATATCCTCTGACCAAAAAGACCATTACCATTCCCTGGGGGGAAATGAAACACTGGGGGAGCCAGTGCTTTGTTCTGTTCAGCTTCTTATTTATATTACTATAGTGACTAAAGACTGACAGTTTCTTTCATCTTGCCTTACTATTTTAAATCAGTACTCCAGGACCTGGATGCCCCCCTTAGCTCTTGACAAGCCTTAAAAGATGTTACATCTTTTACCATCTTCAAGGGCTTACGTGCTTTAAGTGCTTAAGAGCATAGCCACCATTCTACATGGTTGTCTTATTTACTTCTAACAACAGATTTGATGTATAGGTTTTTATCACGTATGAGGTAAGGAAATCGAGAAATAAAGTACTTAGATAACTTTCCCAAGATTGCATGGCTATGTGGCAGCATGAATTAGAAATAGTTAATTCTGTTGTATATTGCCTAAAAAAAGATGCCAGAAAGAGACAAAGCTTTTATTATGAGAAGGCTTAAAATAAAAGAAGAAAGCAACATGCAAAGAACAAGGTGAAAATAGGTATCTGGGTGATAGATCTTATCCACTGGAATCTGTAGAACTTCAATTAATGGGATTTATTAACTGATAAATTACCTTGATCAATGAATGGAGTTTTTGCTTAGAAGTAGAGGGGCCAAACTCAGTCAAGCTTTTGGTGAGAATGTTCTCAAGATCTCTCGTTAGACATGAGTTTGGACTATGCAGAAATCCTATCCATGCCCCCACTCCTCTTTCTCCATGTCCCTCATTCTTGGAGATAACAGTTACATCTCCTGACCATGTTTGGGAAGTCCTACTTTCAGAAAATGATAGTTTGTTGTTGATGAAAGTCTGTTTTCTCCAAAGTTTTGTACAGCCTTCTCCCTGTTGTAAGAAGGTCGGCGTGTTATGCCCTGACCAAACTGGAGCTGCTCAGTGTGCCAGACGCTTGGCTCCATGTGCCTCTACTTATAGTTAACTTCAGGTACTGCTGCCAGTACCATGTAGTGCTGAACTGCTGTGTTTAGGGTTCCTTGAGGGATGCAGACTTGGCTCACCATTTAATTTTACATGATGATTTATAAGAGATAGTAATGTTTTGTTTGCTGTAGAAATTTATGGAAGTGCTATTGCTCTTCAGGAGACCTCAAACTTGGCCAAAATATATGTGTCCCTTGTCCACAAATTTAGAGTTAGCCAAATGATTCTTTGGCATGTTCACAGCAATATAGATTTTTTTTTTTTTTTTTGCCAAATGCAATCCATCTCTTTCTACTTTTATTTTTTGCCTTCACATGATATACTTTTCCTAGAAATTTATTGACTGTGGTCTGTCCTTCAAATTTTGGAGTCTTGCTTTGTCTCCCTAACTCTTCATTTCTGATAAGCAACTGATTAGATCATATGATTTTTTGTTTCTGCCCTAGTCTTATTACGCTGAAAGACTCTCTTATCTTGAAAATGGAATGTGTGGGTAGACATTGCTGATGGTCAGATAGTTACAATTTTGCCTTTCTAGAAAATTCTTAGAGTTTCAGAGAGCTTGATGACATCCCTGGTCCTTGATTTCTATTTCTGTAAGTCCTTGGCTCTCCAGTATCAACCTCACCTTTGGTTTCCCTCTCCCTTTCTCTGAGTCTTAATGAGTAAATCCTTTGGGAACAATAGCTGTCAGGGCATGGCATAGCCTAGATTTAGCTTTTTTTCATTTCATTGGTTAAGATATTCTGGTATCTTTGATGATCTCTAATGTCAGAGACTCTTCAAATTCAGGGGTTCTTGAACCACTTTTCTGTGTTGAGGAGTAAAGAATGGCCAGAGTGAGTTTTAAAAGTATAAATCAGACAACTTTGCTCTCCTTTATTATCCTGAATTGGCTTTACGGTATACCGAGAATAATGCTTAACACTCCTTAAATGATATATAAAAGTTTACAAAAGTCCCCAAATGAATCTATTAGCTCATGGTCAGCCCCTGAAATTCATGATAAGCTTCTTTCTTTAACTTGAATATATACAGAGCATGTTTCTGTATAAGTGCGTTTATACTTTTTACTGTGCCTAAGAGAGTTCTTCACCCAGATCTCAGCTCCACAGTTACCTAACTGAACTATTTCATGACTATTCTACTTTTTTGCTTCATTTGTAGATAGTTATTTTCTAACAGTAATCAAACAGTTAAATTTATGTAATTTTTCCAAATGCAGTCTGACATTAAAAAAGTTACATATTTTTAAAAGAGTTTTATTCATTTATTTATACATATAAGGATGGGGGTGGAGGCCCAAGGTGCAGGGGTGAGAGTATTCACCAGAGTCAGAGTGGGGAGCAGAACAGGTAGATATAATGAATTACACTGCTGAGGGGAGCAGTGGACAAGACAGGAGAGGTCTGCTGCGCCATGTGGGTTAATTCTCTGGTTCAGTATTGAGCTCATGTAGCTGTGGCTGGTGATAAGCTTGATAGTGCTAAGACTTTAACCACTGTACCACCTGAGAGGCTTTTAAGAATTTTAGCTGTCACTGCATTGCCAGTTTTAATGTGATATTTGTTGTCAATTTTATATTCCCATTTGAAGAGAAGAAAGTTTTTAGGCCAGTGGGCTAAGAAGGGCTCCACATTTGGGACCTAGTTACAAGTGGGTTAAACTTGGGTGAGAAGGTAATTCACTATCAGATATTTGAATGCAACCTGGTGGAGGTCTATGATGCCATGACTTACAGGGGAATAGTGGCTGATTGTTTGGAGGTTGCAAAATATAGTAGATAAATATGCAGACTCTGGAGTCAGGGGTTTTGAGTTCTGATCCTGGCTTTAGCTGGCTCTACTTCCTAGCTAGGAGAACTTGTGCAAATGATCATCTCATAGTGCCTCGCATCTGTAAAACAAGGGAAATTACTATGCCCACCTCACAGATTTCTTATGAGGCTAGAATAAACCTGTTAGAATAGCAAGTGTTTAGAATGGTACCTGATATATAGGCCAGCTATTATTTTAGGGTACAGGTCCTTTCATAGAAGGATGTTAAAGTGAACCAAATTACTTCATGTTAATTTTAGAATCTCATGGATAGAAAAAAACTTGTCTCCTTCTACCTACTATCAATACACACACACACACACACACTAAAAGGGCATGAAGTAATGAAGTCATGTTGCTCTTTGGGAAGACAAAGCAACATACCAAAACAGACAAAGGTGAGAAAAAAGAGAATTTAAATAATTCTGAAGCCCTCAATCAACTACTGATGTCATCAGGTCAAAAAGCTATAGCCCTGAAGAGTCAAATTTGGGATCATTTGAGTAGCAAAAAGATAATGTTAATAATATACACATTGAATTCTTTAAGCCATGAAGATAATGTGGGCATGAGAGGGAAGCTGAAAGGAAAGAGAGGGAGGGAAGGAAGGAAAGATGGAAGGATGGAGAATAAGAGTGGGAGAGGATGAGAATTTTTCTTTAAAGGTGAATAAAAGGAAAAGGAATAATAGAATAAAACAAAAAAATTGTGGGCCTCCTTGGTGTCCTGGGGGTTAAATATCAGCACTCTGAACACTATGGCCTGAATATGATCCCCAGCCAGGGAGCTACATCTATGCTGCAGCAGACTTCTCCCTTGAACAGTGTATTTCAGTAAATTTGTTGTGCTCCATATTCTGACTCTGGTGAATCATCTTACTCTTCACTCCACCCAACAGCCCCTACCACTTGTGGCCCAAATGCCAGTTCTTTTCTGTAAAAATAAAAAAAAAAATTTTTTTTAGTCCTCTACTTAATAACGGATTCAAGCAAGGAATCATCCTACAAAAGAGTTCTTACACTAAAAGGAAAGATATAGCTGCCAGCATTTTAACCAAGTTCTCAAAATTTGTGTGACCACCAGTGAGACAAGCTGAAATCATATACCTCTTGATCTGAAGCAATAGCAACATAATTCCTGTAACTAATGTAATATAATCCTATGTAGTTTTCATGCCCAAAATGTTTATTCTGCATGTAAGAAGAGAAAACAGTGAGAAAATTTTAGAGTGTGATTGTAGAATCAAAAAATGACCTGAACTCTTCAAAAATGAATGGTGTGTAAACAAAGTGTGGAATTGACTTCTCAACTGAGAGACTAGGTGGTCAGATGGCTGAATGCAGTGCATAAACTTAATTGTATCTAAAATTTAAAAAGAAAGAGGCAGTTATAAAAAACATTTGTGAGCAATGAAGACTTTGAAAAGAGCATATATTATTTGGAGAGCATATATTATTTGGTAATATTTATATGTAAGTATTGTGCTTACATAAGAGACTGTCTCTATAGATATGTCTACTGAGCTTGTTAAGGCTGTAGTGTGATGATGTCTATAAACATCTTCAAACATTCAGGGGCAAAGGTATGTATAAATAAATACATATCTGTTTACATATTGCAAAAGATTAGAAATCAGTGGAATTTATGGGTGAATAGTGGAATGTCAGATGAATATATGGTTATTCATTGAACTATTATTTCAAATTTGCTATACAAAATATATATATATATATATATATATATATATA